TGTCATTAGCCAATGATATACTGAGAATCTAATCACGTGATTATACCTTTATATTGGATAAAAGGTGCAGCAAGCTCAAAGTTGGGGGCGGCTTTGAATATTTTCAGGGGAGTGCGGGGCTGATTATCATTCAACGTTTTCCTGATACAGACCTAATTAATAAAACATTAGTTCTGTATCAGTGATACAGAACTAATGTTTTATTAATTAGGTCTGTATCAGGAAAACATTGAGTAATAATCAGCCCCGCACTCCCCTGAAAATATTCAAAATGTCTAAACTCGCGTGCAATCAAACACAATTAAAACAAACTGAAAAATCAATATTGTAGCAATGCCGTTTCGTTTCCTCGCGATTTACTCGATCGTCGGATAAGCTTCTCTGTTTTTCTTGGCGCCTCGTCTTGTATAAATTTGACGATCCAAAAAATCAACGACTCGGCGTTCATGTCATCAAGACCAGCGTCAGCATATCCTGGAATGACTCGCTGTTTTTGAAACTGAAACTGGTGCCCCCATTTATGGCTTTCTTGTTCACACGGTCTTTTTGCCGGTAGCAAAATAAGGTTGCGGACCATTTTGTTGAATACTTTGTGGAACACTCGCCCAAGCAATAGCGCTTTCCTTTATGTTGAGTTTTAGGTCTCATAAATCGACTCGACATGATGTCTTCGAGGGAGAAATGGAAGACAACTGATTTAATTTTTGCTAACTATGAATGCCTAATATCTTGCAATTCTTTTGACAATTCTAATTTTCTATAGTTTGGCAAGCACATTCTTTAAAAAAACAATAGGAAAATAAACAATTTTTAGGAGAAAGTAAAAAAAGCTTCTAATGTGACAATTCCGCTTTCAATTAATCGTTTAGAAATTCCCTTGATATTTCAGTCGTTTCATGAAGGCGCCATACAAACAGTTATATTTGACGCCGGATTATGTAATAACGGCGACATAAGTTGATAATTTTAATCGATGAAATGCAGCAAGATATTCAATTTTTCAAAAATATTAAAATGAGAATTATTATAAAGTTTGATAAGCCGTATACAGAACTCGAGAGCGTGTTGTATCGGGGCTAAAGATCCTCGCCTTCGGCTCGGATCTTTATCACCCGATACAACACGCTCTCTCGTTCTGTATACATTACTTAAAAGGCGTGTCATCTCAAACTATTCCAAAGTTGCATTGTGCAGGTTTCATTGACAAATTGTTTTTTCCCTCTCTCTGACTTTAAGCTCCTACCCCCGGAAGACAGTCATTCTTGTAAGAGAGACGATTCAGCGCAGGAAGATTTATCAGCTGTAAGAAGTGATCTTGGACATCTTCAAGAGAGAGTGGATGAGTTGTCATGTCACCTCTGCGACATAAAAGATGACTTAAAGTTTCTGAAGGAGAGTAGGGTCATACCAGAATCACGTCAAACAATTGTCTGACATTCGCTCGGGCTACCTGTGTTTTTTTTGTGGGATTCCTTATTTTCAAGGATGGGAGGGGACTAGGACAAAATTATAATTGCCGACATTGCCGGGTTTCAAGTCGAGTGGGGACTGGGCAAAATCCCCTAATTTGATAATCATGAGATAAGACTTGCATAGAAAGAAAGACCTTGTTGAGAAATGTAAAATTTCAAAAATTTGATGTAAATCAGTTCAATAGTGAACGTGTTACAGCCTTTCAAACATTCCAAAGAAATGTATGTGATCTCGCGAATGTGTCCGGAAAATGGTCAAAWTSCGGACACATTCACRKCTTCCCATACATTTCTTTGGAAATTTTAGAATATTTGAAAGGCCGTAACTCGTTCACTATTGCACTGATTTGCATCAAATTTTCTTTCTTTCTATGCAAGTCTTATCTCATGATTATCCAATTAGGGGATTTTGGCCAGTCCCCACTCGACTYGAAACCCGGCAATGCTGAAAAGCAATTTCTCTGCGAATTCGTTATGTTTTAGCCATTTTAAAGCAACAAAAGGTGGAAAAAACTTGAAAAATCTTCAAGAGAGAGTGGATGAGTTGTCATGTCACCTCTGCGACATAAAAGATGACTTAAAGTTTCTGAAGGAGAGGAGGGTCATCCCAGAATGACCAAACTGAATTGCCAATGAACACTTTACTAACAATGAACTCACTTTGTCGTTGCTAATTTTTATTTTATAATAAATAAAAATGCTTTTAAGATATTAAAATATCCAGAAAAAATGAAATAATTTAATGATAATGCCAAACATCAAGATGTGTTTTCCTCGTCGATAAGATTTTGATTTAGGACTGTAGAATGGAACAGTAAATAATCAAATTCTATGACTATGGCAGACTGTCACTAGAATATTTTTAAATAAAAACTACCATATATTCTAATAAAGTAATAATTTGACCAACTATTGTTATTGTTTTCAKTYTTTTTTCGATGGATTCTAGTTGAACGCACAAAAGAAATGRGGYCATGCATTTTGTTTCCCCGGAGGCTCGTCTTTAGTAAATGTAGTGTTAGTCAAACAATTCAAAGTGTTGAAAGTRGGGSAAAAATCACTTAGCCAGTTGTACGAAGGGCGGATAAGGCTATCAATCGTTAAGCTATCCTGTCTCTATAGAATTAGCATGGATTTTATCGTTTGGTTGACAATTTATCACGAGAATAGTGCTGTTTATCCTTCGTACAAACGACCACTGAACATTAACGTAACATCATAAATACGCTGACCAAAATTGACACGTTAGAGTCGAGCGCAGCGGAGAGATTCGATGAATATAAGCRACGAGGGAACTYAAGCCCTACGTCTAAATTGCAGAAAAAAAACATTGAGATAAGTAAATTATTTAGTGGGCATTTGTGTTAATCTTTTTAAATAGCGAAATAAGGGGAAAATTAGTATTTGGGAGTTTGGGCGGGAAGATTCACATGAACCTCAAATACTCGGCGAGAAACGCGCTAGAAATCATGCTTAAAATGACCATAGATGGATTAAGGACGTTTCATAATTTCATCAACAAATTAACCTTTGCGTAAATTCTCACATAGTTGATAAAAATATACAGCAGTTAATATCATTTATTCGTAAGTTTTATAGCGGAGCTCCCGCACGGGCCTAAGGAGCACCATAGCTAAAATAAGAAAAAAATGGTATACCATCGAGTCGATTTTCCATGGACCGACACAGGTTCCCGCACGTACGCACCTTTCCTTCCGTCCTGGATTCCGTGTACCACCACAGGAAACCCATACTCCGCTCGAAAAGGAAACAAAGCGCCAAGTATTTGCTGAAAAATCTAATTTTTTTACTTAAACATTTATATTACATATTGATAATATTAGAACAATTAATCACAAGGAAAAAATCCACTGAAGAGCGAAATAACAGCACAGAAATATTCCCGCCAATTTTGTCATAACTTCGACGCGTCCGCACATCCGGGAAATCTATTTGCGAAGATGAAAAGCAGTTTAGGCCCATCTTAAAAGTGATATTAGAAAAAAGGATTTTACTTTGAAATTTCGACAACAAGAAAGAGATGATACTTTATTGGAAATACTTCAATAACATGGACCAATGTGGGAAAAAGCAGGGATCTATGCAAAGTTCTTTTGTCGACTAAAAGTGTGGACATTTCGAAACCAAGACCCTGCTAGCAGTTAGATTGAGAGAGATTAAAAACAAAGAATCTACAGTCTTGAATGACTTAATAAATTGATGAAACCTATGCTTGAAGCAAGTATGTCTCTGTTGAAGATGACCTTTGAACGATAATTTATCGAAAGTTCGATAATGAAGGTAAACAATATATTTTTGTATACAGTTTGTATACAGTATACAAGTTCGAGTAGTCCGGGTTCAAACATCGATTATTGAAACAATGTTGATTATTGTAAGCTTATGTAGACTACTTTTTTCCGAGAAGCTTTCAGTTTACTTTTAATCAATTGATCTTTATAGATTATAATATTAAACTTCATCGAACGGAACAAAATCTACCGAAGTCCGTATTAGTACGAACTAAATTCTCATAAACATACTCTTTATAATATTTGTTCGCATGTCAACAAAACTGTTGTAGCTCACATTCCTTAGAACAGAGCATCTACCTTTGAAATAGCAGTACTAGATAATCATTTTCAGCTTCTATATTGCTATTGGAGCTCCGCTATTAGGTGTTACCTAATTTTTATATTACTTTTTCGATGCTGAAGCCTGACATCTAGCATCTAGGCCTGTAAATGGCAGTGTTTGACTACGTTGAATTTGATATAAGATAAAGAAAATAATGAAAATTTTGCAAAAAACTTAAGGTCCCCCCTCTATTAATTTGGTAATTTTACTTTAACCCCCTCTTGGCATCACTGTCCCTAAGTTACCTCTCTTACTTTTTACATGATTGTGTTTTTATGAGCCAATTGAGCCACATATAACACTGATCATTGGAAGGACAGAGCAGTAGATTTACRATAGGACTCGAAGCTGACTCGATCGATTTGATCATTGAAAAAAACATGMYTCAGAAAGAATATGTCTTTTTCCAGTTCAAAGCGAGCAACCGCTGCTTTAGTGGACAACAGTCTCTCATGCGCATAGAACTTACCAAAAACAAAAGAAAGCACGAAAAATGTTTTCATTACAATAGCACAGACTAAGCCCTGTATTCCCAGAAGAGTCAAACTCTTGTTCAGGCTAAACCTGGAATCGGAGAAAATTCAAATTTCTAGAGCTATTGTAATGTCAACATGTTTTCGTGGCCTTCTTTTGTTCTCTACGCAAGTGAGTATGTTGTCTACTAAAACAGCGTTCGCTCACATTGAACTGGAAAAAGGCTTATTACCCGATCGGCTAAAAAAAGGCATGAAATATTGAACAGTCGATTATTCATCTAAAGAAAGAGTTTGGTTTTGGATTTTTAACTGAGAAACGAAATATTTGGAAAAACGTATCTCTTTTCCCAGAGAAAAACAGCAGCTGCGGCATTAGTTTGTGAGCCAGCGGTATTATGCATGAGGGCTCATATGTAGAGAGTTTGGACGCGCGATAACCCAGTGAATACTTTGCAAAACCGCATTTAATCATTGGTCATCTTCGACTTGAAAAATATATTGTCACAGGTAATAGATCTAAAAGGTAAGACATTTTTCTAGTTCTTCTATGTGTAAATTTAAGATTTCGTGACTTCAAGTAAAAGTGCCTTATCGTGCAGTGCATCGGGTCAAGAAAGTTTATACTACAAAGTCTGAATCGAAATGGCCTTAACACAATAATAACGGCAACCTGACCCTAATAGCACCCAAGGAAAGACGAGAGAAAGGCTTGGATATTGTCAGCTTCATTGATGTTTGCATTGGTTTTATGTATGAATAGATCAAACAAAGGCCTAAACATTAATAACCGTAGCCGTCTTAGAAAAAATTAAGACACATTTTATGTTAATTGCTTAGAAATCTTTCAAACAAGTTTTTGGCAACTTTAATAAACCTATTTCTTACAATTGATTGACCGTTTTACGTCCACGAGGCAGTGGTTTTCGGAAAATGTGAACGTGTACGTGTACGTTTGACTTTACGACCTATTTACGCTTCCACGGTTACGTTCAGCATGTATATTCATAAACAGAGATTAGTGTACATATCAGTTATCCGTAATTTAATCAATTCGCCAACACAGTTTAATTACCTGTTTGGAAGTATAATCAACATAATCTTGCTGATCAGT